CTAGGGGAAACTGGAAGCCATGTGGACACTGAGCCACTAGGGACACTGGCTGGGGGACGTGGATACACTGTGAGACATGAGGACACTGTGTCCCTAGTGTCTCCATGTCCCAGTGTCTCCCTATGTCTCACAGCATCCCCATGTCTCCCAGTGTCCCCTAGTGTCTGTGTCCCCATGATTTCCAGTGTTCACAAGCATCTCAGTGTCCCAAGGTCTCCCAGTGTCCCCATTTGTCCCTGCCGCCTTTCTCCCCATACCTCACTTACCTGAGCTGCTGGACTTTTACCCTGGACTCTCTGTGCTGTGTAGCTGCTCCCCCACGGATCAGTGAGTAGTAGAGAGAGGCAGGGATATGCTGTAACTTCCTATCCCTGCCTCTCTCCACACACAGTGACCCCTACTGGCCGGTGCTGGTATTGCAGAGTAATCTCCATTTATACTGAGAAAAATACCTGCATTTGTATTGCCGGTATTACTGCAATACCTGCACAGCCAGGCAGCCTCAAATACCAGCTATGCCAGTAAAATACCAGTCAGGTTGCAAACCTAAGAGTAGTGTGTAAAAAAAAAAAAAAAGTACTATTTTTTTAATGGGCCTATTCCATGGGCCTGGGCCTGGTGCTGCAGCTCCATCAGCCCCTATGTTAATCCGGCCCTGACCAGGACGTAGTGATCCCAGGTATATGCACTGTTGGCCCTGTAATCCCAGGTATATGCACTGTTGGCCCTGTAACCAGGACGTTCTAATCCCAGGTATATGCACCGTTGGCCCTGTAACCAGGACCAGTGGCGTACATCAGCCCCTATGTTAATCCGGCCCTGGATGCTGGGTTTTCTCATGCTCTGCAGAGTACTCTATAGTGTAAGAAATACAGATTTGTATTCCTAACTCAATAGAATCCCTTTAACTGTGAGAGATATCCAGCTTTGCTACGGCGAGAGATTAGATGTGCTATGGGCAGGTAAGTGGTTGAGCTGTTCTAAAATGATTTGGCAAATTGCAGTGGGAGGGCGCCAGTGCACTCCTGGCTCCATTAACGAATACAGCGGAATGAACGGAATATGGAGTTTGGTGTGTTTATTAAAGACATTTCCAGGATTTAATATTATATTTACTTATCCCTATATTTAATTGTCACTTTTATTATAATTGTCATAGAGCAGATATAGGCTATGCATTGTGAGTATATACATCAGAGCACTATCAACATTAACGTTACAGAAAGGAAATATATTAATATGAGAACCACATATAGGACATGGTAATTCACAAGCGTTTGGTAATACCTCATTTTTTGTTTTGTTTGTATGATAAAAACAGGCTAAATAAACATGTTTGTGCATTGTTAAGAATAAGATTCATTCCGGCTTGCTACATGCGTCCATATCGTTAAATATATATAGGCTCATAACTAGGTAAACCTTCTGGACACATTAAATGTGATGAGTAGATTATATAGATCGTTAAACTATGAATCCGCTATTGCGAGTACATTGGCATGTGTGCCTATTAGGCAGCTGGCATGTGGTGTATAAACAGGCTAGGATGAGAATAAATCAGGAATATTAGATAGTCCTGCGGTAGGTCTAAGTCCCGTAGTAGCTCTGTTGCTTCTTGCAGGTTCTGGAAAGGATATGTGGTGTCCCCGTGTGTCACAAGGAGTGTGCGAGACATGCACAAGCGGCATCCAATTTTTCAGTGTTGTAGAAGTGTGATAAGAGGCTTGAGTGACCGTCGCCAGGCCAGTGTGCTGCTAGATAGGTCAGCATAAAATGCCAGGGACATGTTTTGAAATTGGTAGTGGGGTTTTCGCCTCAGTGCCGTCAGGACTGTCGTCTTATCTGCTCCGTTTCGAAAGTGGATTATCAAGTCCCTTGGGACAGTGGCAGGTGCCTTGGTCGGTTTGGGGATATGAAAAAGTCCTTCCAGCACGAGTTTGACCTGTCGTGGTGGCAGCAAGTCCCTCAGCATTCTCCTCACGAAATGCTGCAGTTCCGCCTCGGGAACCTCTTCAGGGATCCCCCTGATTTTCAGATTGTTCCAGGGGCGGAGGTCTTCCGGTGCTGCGACATGGCGTTCGTGTGCTTGATTCTGCCGCTGCAGGACTCTCACCGCCTGTTCCAGCAATTCTATTCGTTGGGAGCCCTTGTGTGAGGTTTCCTCGAGTGCTCCAATGCGGCCTGTCAGGCCCTGCAGACCCCCGCATATTGTGGCTATGCCTTCTTGTGGGCTGATCTGCAGTTCCGCCAGGAGCCTTTTCAGGACAGATGTAGTGACCGGAGAGGAGTCCGATTCCATGACGGCCTCACGGGTGTTGGTAGGCGTTCTTCCCATTTAACGGACAGGTCGTCCGAGAAATCGGAGGAGACTCCCGAGAGCGCGGCCATCTTGGACCCACTCACACTATGTGCCTGCCTCCACAAGTCAACAATATTCATCCCCAGATTGGGACGATCGGTTTTGGTTTTTTTCGGCTTGCATCCCATGTTTGTGCATTCAGGTGAGGTCTCTGAGGGCCAGTCAGGATGAGTAAATGCCCCTATAAATGGTATTTTCCTCACTTAATGCCTAGAGCTTCAGTGACATGTGACCATTCACTTTGGCAGTTAGGTTCCGCCCCAACACCATTTTTTAAATTGCTTTTATCACATTAATTTTGTATTCTGTATATTCACAATGCTCTTGCAATATATTATTTATATACATTTCAGCTTACTTAGCACTAGCACTATTTAATTTGTTTTGGAATTAGTGTATGACCCACCGATACCGGGGTACTGTGACGTAGTAGTGGGCTTGGCACAATATGGCCATATGGTGGAACTGAATCCCCATATTTGTTTGCCGAGATAGATGGTTTTTCGTAGCCTTATAAAAAGTAAAAATTAATTTTTATCTGTGTGCTCTTCCCTAATTTGTATTATGTATAAATTTTGGTCATTACAGCAGCACCATTCCTACAAAATTTATGTTCCAAGTTTGCCCCAATTCCCGTTTTGTCTTTAATACGTTAGTGATTTATGCCCTACGTTGCAGGATAGTTTGCAAACGGTCTTCACAATAAGAATATTTAAAGGCCTTAGTTACACTTAATTCTTATACTTTGTGCTACATCAAGATATTGACATGGGATTAAATACTTTTTGTATTTTCTGCTTTGCTGTAGGCTACGAGTGGACTTTCTTTACCTGAATACATGCTTATGCCTTATGTACGGAGGTAGTGCACTACTGTGTCCATTTTTATTATTCTTGAATAAAGAACTTGTAATTTCTTTAGATTCCCTTACGGCACATTCTGTTCAATTTACAATGTATCTCCTGCTCTGTTAACTGCCTGCTAGGGCTTGCAGCAGCCCCCGTGTTGGATTAAAATTAAATTTACAGAGCAGGAGATCAGGAACACACCCTCGGATAACCAACTAAGGGAAACCATGACAGGGCACTGACCAAAAGGTAATTTGGGTTTAAATAACCCTTTTGCAGATTCGATTGGCTGTACGTGAGTGTGCGTCTTTTGCGTGACGTCACCCGCACGTCCTTGTCTTTACCGTGGCGGACGTGGGGCCATATAATTGCGTGGGTCCGCAGCAGCTGGCGTGCACTGACATGCCGCACAAGACAGGCATCATGGCAGAAGACCGCCAAGCGGCACGCCCCTCGATCTTCGGAAGGTAATTATCTCCGATTTTGCCAGAAATCAGAAATCTCCAGAAATCAGTTAATGGCATTTCAGCTTAGAATAACCACACAGACAGAAAACACCCTTTGAAAACATTCCATTCACTGGCTGTTTAGCTGAATGGGGTTATTTAGGAGAATGTTGTCACTTACATAAAGGTTCAGGAAGGTGAACATTGAGCTGGGATAAAGTGACAGTTTACACTCTATCTCCCTAACTTTCCATTTAATAGCAATATGGCACTGTACAGATAGCAGGAGCGAGGCGTGTGCCTTACATTACTGGGAACTCAACCTGAATGTCACGTTTCAGACTCCATTTAGAAAACATCCTCCAATTCACTAATTTTGGCCAAATCTCTTATCTGAAAATTTTTCCAAAAAGGTAACGCTGCTAAGAGGTTAAAAACTACGATTTATAGTGAATTCAATCTGAATGGCAAAAATTAGGTCCAATTTAGGTCCAAAATAGCTTAACTGGAGATATTCTTCACATGATCCCAGATCGGCTCCTTTGCCCTTAAAGGATCACTATAGTGTCAGGAAAACAAACTAATTTTCCTGACACTATAGCATCTTTAGGTCCCCCTCACCTTCAGGGTCCCCCTCCCTTGGCGCTGCAGGGGTTAAAACCCCTTCAGCCACTTACCTTAATCCAGCACCAGGCATGAGCCGTGCGCGCATTCAGACAGTAGATAGGAAAGCATCTCAATGCTTTTCTATGGACGTTCTGCACGTTGAATGCGATTTTCGCATCCAGCGTTGCAGAAGCGCTTCTAGCGGCTGTCAGGAAGACAGCCACTAGAGGCTGGATTAACCCTGCAATGTAAACATAGCAGTTTCTCTGCAAACTACTATGTGTACATCTGAAGGGTTAAAACCTGAGGGACCTGGCACCCAGACCACCTTATTGAGCTGAAGTGATCTGGGTGACTATAGTGTCCGTTTAATCTAAACTCCTGGCAATGGTTGCTTTACTGAATAACCAGGTCTGTGGAGTTGGGTAACGGTGAAAGAAGGGGTTTATGGTTTCTATAACAAATCATACAATCATTTTACCGCATACACAGCCATAGTATACGAATAAAATTCCAAATAAACGATTCGATCTATAAACCCTTATTATGAATACACCGAATTCCAAAACCTTGTACATCAGTCCGCAAGGTGAACTAGTGATCTCTGTAGAAAGGGTGACATCTAGTGGTGATGTACTGCATTGCAGTAGCATGGTTTCTTGCTTGCCACCATATTTGCAGACGGTGACTATGGAAAGAGATAAGCTTAACACGTGTCACTGAATGAGAATCCCGCTGATCAATGGCCAGGAACAGATATCTGATGGAAAAGGACACCGAGATCCTCCATTGCCACGCTCAGCAACGGACAATGAACTGAGAAACAATCAATAAGAAGTAAACGTGCATTAAATTAGATAATAAGCTTCTAGACTGCACAATCGGATTTCGGGTTGGAATAGCAGCTCTATTTATTATAATGCGCTCTGTCTGCCTGTAAGACATGAAGCTAGAGCCTTTATAAAGGGTGCTGTCAGTACCATCTCTCCAGCCAGTTCTTCCAGCAATCTTTGTGGATAGACCTGTGCTCAAGTCACAGCGGATGATTTTGTACTCCGTGCTGGACATCTGACAACTCAAGCAACTCCTGCTTGCAAGCATGCAATAGCCGTTCAAAACATCTGGTTTTAATGCTGATCCAAAAGAAGGCAAAGAAAACCCAGTCTAAAGCACATCTAAATTTTGCAACAGACTAGGAAAAATTTAATTCTTGACCCCAGAATGGCAGTCAGATGTATCCTTGGATCAAGAAGCTGTTACCCCCCTATTTACATCCCTGCAAGTATTTATCCAATTGCTGTTTAGACATCTGCACAGACTCTGATAAAAACCACCTCTTCAGGCAGAGAATTCCACGTCCTTTTGCTCTTACTGTAAAATTCCCTCTCCTTTAGAATAAATCTCCTTTCTTCCAGTCTAAACGCATGGCCTCATGTCCTATGTAAAGTCCGGTTTATGAATAGATTTCCACTCAATGGTTTGTATTGGCCCCGAATATATTTGTATAATGTTATGATATCCACGACGCTTTACTAAACTAAAGAGGTTTAAATTTGTTAACAAGTCTTCATAGCTGATATGTTCCATTCCTTTTATTAATCCCCAGATTTTACTATTAACATGACGTAAACTCATGATTTTATTAAAGACATGGAGGCGAGTATTATGCATATCTCTTTCTTTATTACTCTCAGCAGCAAAGATAGAGATGAATAAATAACTGAAATGAACAAAAAAATTGTACAGTACACAAGCAACCAATCACCTAACACAGGAAGTGACTATAAAAGGCTTGTGACTCCCAAGATCCCTCTCTTTCTTGCGGAGAACGAAGACCAGCATAGAGGAACCAACTTCAGCTAACGTAGCCAACAGCAAAACCAACACGCAAACACAAAATTTCAAGCTATAAAGGAGACAGAGAAAAAAATATGGTAATTTCTGAACTCTAACCGTAATGTGCATAATAACATATTGACAACAGCAATGTAAGTAATCCCCACTACCATCATTGAGTAAATACAACAGACATTAAAGATAACATGCAATTTACCAAAACACACCTGCTAGACAAATAATAAAACATATGAAATCTCCAAGGAGAATACCTACCGATCTTCTACATAATCTTCACTTGCAACCATCTCCACAACCGGGAGGGCGGGTGGAAATAACTCACCTCCGTGTTGTTAATAAAATCACGAATTTACGTTGTGTTAATAGGAAAATCTGGGAATTTTATTAAAGACACGGAGGTTCCTATAATGCAAGTTCAAAGCTTAGCCACCACTTGAGATGCAATGTGATCAATCGGCCTGAAATAGAAATCACGGAAGGTCGATTCTCGTGACCAGTCAGCAGCTCGCAGGATATCTTCCACGCGACAACCAAGCACTGAGGCCTTTGACGCCATAGCTCCATGGACCGTGCGGGGAGTAAAGATAGACGTGTCAATCCCAGCCAACGTCAATATCTCCCGAACCCAACGTGCCAACGTAGGGGTAGATACCAGCAGGTGTGGAGCGCGAACGGAAATAAACAGAGGATACAATTCTGGAGAACGTAACGGCCGAGTAACTTCCAGATATGTCTTGAGACACTCCACCGGACAGAGAGCTGGGACGCTCTGGAACCTAGGATAAACAAAAACTTTCTAAGCGGACTTCGTCCTTCTGGAGATGTTAAAGGAGATACCCTCTGGGGTAAACATAACAGCATTCCAGTCAAGCGCTCTGACATCTGACACCCGCTTGCATGAGATCAAATATGACAACATAACCACCTTGGCTGACAGTTGCTTCAGCGTCAAATCTTGATTCGGATACCAAGACGATAGGAACTGAAAAACTACATTGACGTCCCAAAAGGCAACAAATCTAGCTCTAGGTGGTCTGGTGAGACAAATCCCCTTAAGTAGATGACACACGAAAGGGTACCAACCGACAGGTGACCCATCCAGACCATGATGTCCAGCCGAAATAGCCGAATGGCACAGATTGATGCGATACTCCTTTCCTGACTCAAACATACTAGTAAGAAATTCTAGAATCATATGCAGAGGGGCAGATACGGGATCCATAGTTCGTTCCACGCACCAACCAGACCACATCTGCCAGGCGGACCGGTAGGCCGATCGAGTGCCTGGTGCCCACGCATTGGAGAGGAGGTTGAGAGTTGACTGCGGAACTCCCGAGATAGTCCAAGGTCCCCTGAAAGGAGCCATGCCATTAGATGTAGAAGGCCGTAATCCACTAAATCGTGAGAGTTCCCATCCGGATCCACCAGGAGATTCGAAAGATTCGGAATCAACCGCGGGTAATCTATTGCCAACTCCAGCAACCGAGGGAACCAAGGTTGTGATCGCCATAGAGGAGTGATCAACACCATCGTACAATCGTGGGGGGTCAACTTCAAGAGCATGCGAGCTATTAAGTTGAATGGGGGAAAGGCATACATTCGAGCCACTGGCCAATCCTGAATGAACGCATCTGTTGCCATAGCCGCCGGATCCGGTCTCCAACTGTAGAACCTCAGCAATTGGGCTTTGAGTCGGGATGCGAACAGATCCACCTCGAATGGGCTCCACAACCGTTCCAATCCCATGATCGTCGAAGTGTGTAAGCGCCAGTCTCCAGAGTCTCTCAAAAAACGTGAGTTCCAAACGGCCGTCGAGTTGTCTAGGCCCGGAATGTGTTCCGCCTTCACCAAGACATTGTTGTGTAGACAGAACTGCCAGAAGTCCTTCGCCATGAGATCTAACATGCGCGACTTCATGCCCCCTATGTGGTTGATGTAACGCACCGCGGACATATTGTCTATCTTGAGAGTCATGCAGCAGTCTGCATGACCAGGGCTAAGTCTGCGAATCGCAAAAACTCCGGCTAACAGTTCCATGCAGTTGATGTGTAGTGTCTTTTCGAAGTTCAACCATCTGCCTCCTGTGGAAACGTTGCCACAACGCGCACCCCAGCCGTTAAAGCTGGCATCCGATTCGATCACCAGGTCTGGGATCGATCTGAAGATGGCCCTGTCATTTCAGGCTTCCAAGTGAGCCAACCACCAGACTAGTTTGTCTCTGGACTCGTCGTCCAATCTCAAACTTTTCTCGTAGTGGGTGACCAGAACGGAGGTAAGGGCCCGATAATCAAGTGGTCCTGGAAAAATTGCTTGTATCGAGGCAGACAGCATTCCGATGACCCTCGCTAAGTGTCTGATAGACAGGTCTTCCGCTCGCAGGGTCCTCCTGATTTCTTTCTTGATGGCATTTAGTTTGGTTTCCGGGAGAAACAGGAACTGACTGATAAGAATCCACTGTGAAACCTAGGAATTCCACTGACTGAGCGGGGTCCAGTACTGACTTTTCCCAATTAATCATGAAGCATAGATTCTGCAGTAAGGTAGTCGTCCAGTCGACATGCAATTTTAGTTGTTCCCTTGATTGGGCCACGAGTAAGATGTCGTCTAGATATATATAATCAGACAAACGCCTCGGGTCTGGAGGAACGATACCACTGGTTTCATGACTTTGGTGAAATGGTAGACATGTAAATCTCCAGAATTTCCCTCTCTAGGTGAATTGGTGAAAATCTCTGTGCTCCTCGGCTATAGGAACCGTGAAATAAGCGTCCTTCAAATGTAGCTTGGCAAGCCAGTCCGACGCCTAGAGTAGGTCTCGAAGGCAGTGGATGCCTTCCATCTGGAAGTGTTGGTACCGCAGAAAAGCATTGAGGGGTCGGAGATTGATAATGGGGCTCACCCCACCCCCCTTCTTTGGTACCAAGAAAAGGCTGCTCGTAAAACCCGGGTAGGTGCACGGCAACTCTTGGATCGCCCCTTTGGTGAGTAGTTCCCGGATCTCTGTAGAGATCAACGATTCCTGTTCCTGAGACAGGTACAGCTTCCTGGGGACAAAATTTTGGACGGCATGGACACAAACTCTAGCCAGTAACCCCGTACAGCTTGGAGGACCCAAACGTCTGCTGTTGAGGCAGCCCACCCATTGTAAAACTGGGCCAATCTGCCCGCCACCCGCTCGTGAATATGAGGGAAAAAAGGGGTACTCACCATAAGGCAGTCTGCCCGACGTGGCACCTCTAGGGTAGCGGGAATTCCAGTGTCTCCCTCTGGATGGGAAGAATGGAGGAGTCTTGGGCTCTTGGAAACCCTGTGACGGGAAGAAGGAGCCTCGATTAGCTCTGAATGAGCTGCGGAATCCATGGCCGGCTCCTGCTACGCCCAGCCCCTCCGAAAACCTTCAGGGGAAAAAACTCTTTTCATATTAGCCTGGGCTTTATCCATGGCAGTGAAAGTTTTAACATAGGACCCAAATCTCTCACGAAGTTGGCACCGAACAACATCCCCTCAGCCGTGGGACCTGGTTTCGATATGGCCATACTAGCAGGTTTGGGGTCAATCTTAAGGAGAATTGCCTTCCGGCATTCGGCCGACACGTTCATATTTGCGTTGCCCAGTAGGCAGATAGCCCATTGTACCCAACCTATTGCCACGTCCAAGTCTATTTCCGATTCTCCAGTCTTGGCACAATCTAGTAATTCGTATACTTTGGACAAGGGCCCCAGAGTATCCATGATTTTGTCCTGGCAGTTTCTCAGGGAGAAGTCTAGGCCCTTTTCGGTTTCCAAAAGGAAATAAAAAGGTTAGTGCTAATAATAAAATGTATAAAAGGCAGCGGCCTAACAAAGGGTCACCCTCTAACCCTCTACAGGGAGAATATACAAGTAAAAACAAAGAAAGGCTGCGCCAAGAAAAGTAGATCAATATTACACAAATAAAATTATATGTGATTTAAAACTGTAATATAAATAGAAAGTCCCAATATCTATCTTTTAGTTGTTGTTTCAACTGGTGTAATATCTTCTCTGTTCTACTTCCAACAGAGAAGATATTACACCAGTTGAAACAACAACTAAAAGATAGATATTGGGACTTTCTATTTATATTACAGTTTAAATCACATATAATTTTATTTGTGTAATATTGATCTACTTTCCTTGGCGCAGCCTTTATTTGTTTTTACTTGTATATTCTCCCTTTTCAGTTTCCAGCCCGACTTGTTGAGAAATTGGGCAATTTGGGGGTCAACCTCCTTACATGCGGAGCTCGGCACTGTAGGCCTAGGGCATTCAGCTCGCAGCTTACTGAGGCCATCTTTAGAGAGAAGGGAGTGCACATTCGATGCGCAATGTATTAAGCAATATGCCCAGGGGGTTCCCACTCAGCAGAGTGGTGATGACGCAGATTATCCGGATCAAACAGGGGGTTACCCTGAGGATCCAGGAGGGCCACGTCACCACCCGCTCCCCCCTAGCGACATTACCCTGAGCGGGAGCGGTAACCCCAGTACGGGTAGTCACGGCACGGGGAGCTTCCTCCTCCAAGCCGGCCTCATCATGGAGGCATAATCCACCTCCTCAGAGTCATTCTCCTCACTCCGGTCGGTATCTGACCCTTCTTCACGGGATCTAGCCAGTTTCCACAATCTGGTCGTTTTTGCCCGACCAGGGGCTCTTTTGCGCGGTGGTTGTGCGCCATCTTTGACTGCCTCAAGCTAGTCCATCATGGCAGGCATAATCCACCTCCTCAGAGTCATTCTCCTCACTCCGGTCGGTATCCGACCCTTCTTCACGGGATCTAGCCAGTTTCCACAATCTGGTTGTTTTTGCCCAACCAGGGGCTCTTTTGCGCGGTGGTTGTGCGCCATCTTTGACTGCCTCAAGTGAGTCCATCATGGCAGGCGAAACCTGCATCGAGGAGTGGGAGGTGAGGTGTTTGGCCTTCAGCGTAGCCTTACGGGCCTTGGACGAGGCAGGGGCAGAAGGGAGCCCTGTACCCAGTAGGGCAGGGGTAGCCGCCGGGGGCAATAAAAGAGCCTGCGCAAGCGCCTGAGAGATCGATGACGACACCGCTCACATAGCAGAGGCAAAGGCCCTTTGGAGAGAAGACGCCATTGTGGAGTCTAATACTGCTTGAAAATCCTCAGATGCCACATCCTCCTCAGGCAACCCCTGAGGGAAGTTGTAACGGAGCTCCTTGTACTCCGACTGAGTACCCTCCATTGATGGATGCTCCTAGCGCTTCCTGAGGACTCCAAGCAGTGCAGCAGACACCACAACCACCGCAGACTCCGCAACCGCTGTATCTTGACTGGAGTCTCGCCATCTTCCTTCCACCCTGGATCAGCTTCTGTCCTCCAGGACTGTGTGGGAAAGAACTCTTCCTTCCACCCTGTACGAACCTCCAGCATCCAGGACTGTGTGGTGAAGACCCCTCCTCCAAGGAGAGCGTGTCAGGAACAAGCTCTTAAAAGAGCTAAGTGATTCAAGCTCAGGGGAGCATGCAGAGCATAGCAATCCCCAGTGTGATTATAACATCTCCCTCCAATAACGAGACAAGGCTACGTTTAGAGGGATCAAGAAGAACTGTCAAAACCTTTATTCCCTTGGGACCAGCCAATAGGGTCACCACAATAACATTGTTGTGAAAACTCAATAAAATTACAAACAGTCAAACCAAATCAAGCAACACACAGTGACTTATCACAACACAATGGCACATTTTTAAAGGGGTAGGGGGAGACAATATTTAACAGTAAATATCTCACCTGCCTGCAGAATTAGCAATATGCAAATCTACCTGAATATGCAAATGAACCAGTCTTGCAATTCAGGTAGTGCATATTGCTGTTGCTACCAACAGAGGGCACTAGACAAGCTCCATAGCCAAACCCACCTAGTTGGTAGCAAACCTCAGCAATACAAGAGAGCAGGCAATACATGACACAGTACACACACACACACTATAAACAAACAATTACATTACACACACCTTGCACCTATAATGTAATAATAACTAAAACATAAGATAAATAAAGCAGCCTACATAAATAGTCTGTCTGAAGGTAGACTAGGGGCTTTAAAGCCAGATACATGAAAGAGTCATAGTCACAGGGGAGGAGGCTGGCAAGTAGGCCTCTCCAGGACCAAGTGGCGAAGGGCACTTCGTCACAGAAGTCATTAAGCTGGCCCTCAGGTCCATCACCCTCAGCCTGCATGTAACGGATCACCTGGCACCCTGACTGGGTACCTCCGTTGAAGGATGCTCCTAGTGCTTCCTGAGGACTCCAAGCACTGCAGACACCATAACCACCGTATACTCCTTCAGAGAGCAAAACAGGAACAAGCTCTTACAAGAGCTTAGCAGTGAATATAGCAACAGAGTATGCAGAGCATAGCAATCCCTTGTAGAAGATTCCCCCAATAAGAGACGGCACTCCAAATTGAGGGTGAAGTAGAACTGACTGTACTGGCACATACAGCCTCTTTTATTCACAATCCACAATCCACAAACATAGTACTGCCCACAGGGTTTTGAAATACAACCAATCAATCCGTACAATACACACAGACACTCCCACACAAAATCCTCCCCTCTGCCTGTGATATGATTACTGAACACAATGGGTAATATTATCACAGGCAGAGAAATACAGTTTTTACAAAATATTAATAACTTCCAAAATATACATGCCATTCACATAAAACATACATTTTCAGAATCCACATGCTTGAAATATACACACTCAAAAATCAGGGAAATCGGTTCAAGGGTTAAAAAGTTAAGGGAAAGTCCTATCTGACAAAATGAAGCATGTTTTTTCTGCCCAAAACCAGTTCCACAGAGTCTTCTATCCTGGAGATAATTGGGAAGTAATCCAATTATCTCCAAGGACAGAGGCAAAACTCCATTAGCCACATGGTAGCAAAATACAATAAAATACATAAAAATATATAACTGTGCAGCGATTGCATAAAACAGGTACATTCAACATATCCCCAGATAGCTTAGATCTGAGCGCAAATTATTACTGAATGGCGCTCTGATCACATACATACAGTTCAATTGCCATGGAGCCAAAGTCTTTCACATAGTCTTTCATTATACGAATGGGCTCCATGGCATAGCTATCTGGGGTAACACTGTTCAAATAGGGCAAGCACCAAATGACCGGCTTTCGGGTCTTTGCAGGGGAAAATCAAGCATTTCAACATGGGGCCATAGTCACAGGGCAGGAGGTCTTCTCCAATGCCCAGTGGTGAGGCTGGTTCCGCCACACTGCATAATATGGCTTATAGGTTAACTGAAATTGCCTGCAATAGAGAGAAAAGACTAGATAAATATACAGGAAAGAAAAGGATAGGGTTTAATAACCCATAGAGAACATACACAGAAAAAACGAAAATGCACTAAAATAAAATCATACAGCATAAATGATACAGTACCTGATA